CCCCCCCCACCTTACCCGGTCTTATAACCCGGTCGCCGCGGCCGCCAGCCAGACCGTCGCCGCCGCCGCCGGCGATTTGGACACGGACCAATAAAGGACGTCCACCTTCCACTTCCGGTTCTACTTCCGTCTGGATCTGCCCCGGAAGTCCGCCATATGTTTCAATTCCCGCCCCGCGCCGTGCCGCTTTGCGCGCTGGCGGTAAAGGAGGGGGAGTTGAGGGGGGGGTAATTAAGTGCAACCGCGAGAAGTAGTAGATAGGGGGGGGGGGACAAAGAGAGCGCAGCAGGAGAGAGAGGGAGAGAGAGGAGGCCGTAAAGGTGTTCTAAGTGGTGGTGCGTCGCGCGAGCGCGGGCGCGCGCTCCTGCGCAGACGGACCAGCTGTGCGCAAAAGTGCTCCTGAATTTTTCATAAATAAATGGTGTGCTGACGGACCACCCCGCGCTCCCTATTGAATCCTCCCCTCCCCCCTCTCGGTCTCTATCCCTATGTCTCACTCTTTCTCCCTTCCTTCCTTTCTTTCCCCCTCTTGTGACAGCGACTTTTCTATGTTATCGTTCAGAGAGTTACTGTTCGTAAAAAGACATATCAGAAACCTCTCCTTTTGCTCGCGCTGCATGCCCGGGAGGGGGGGGTGCGGGGGCGGTCGGTGTTCGCCGCCGCCGCTATTATTCAGGCCAACAAACAAGTTGCGGCATTCGCAACCGCATCGCGCCATATGGCGGGCGCATCGCAAACTGCGCCATCTTCCCGCTTTCCGTCAACAACAAGTGCCGGAAGAAATGCTGCATGTGTGTGCGTGCGTGCGTGTGTGCGTGCGTGTGTGTGCGTACGTGCGTGTGTATAGGTGTGTGTCAGTGTATGTGTGTCTCCCCCCGCTGCCTCTTGTCCGGGCCGTCGCCCTTTCTCCAGCAGCTCACCATTGTGTCTTCTCTCTCTCTGCTTCCAGGACTGGACAATGCAGCTCAAGTTTGTGACGGACCGGGACACTGGCCGCTACGAGTGCCAGGTCTCGACCCACCCCCCGGTCAGCATCTACATCCACCTCAAGGTCGTAGGTGAGTGTCGTGTCGCTTTGTCAAGCAACACTTTGGAGGGTCTCCTTCTGCTCACTCCACAGCCAAGTCAAGCCAAACCCTGAAAAAATTGTTATCTAAAGAAAAACGCTTTGTATTTTTTTTTAAATCATACTTTTAAATAAATCCCAGTTAGTTGTCATCATGATAACGCACGACGTGAATTTTAAAATTTGAAAAATAGATGCACGCTTTATAGTGCTCGTTCCTCTGGCTTATTTAAAGCGCGTGCCATTATTTATTTAACGCTGAAATACCAACGGGCTGGCCCGGTCATGGAGGCGGTCGGTCGCGCAGGGGTCCGCTCGGCAGCAGCACAGGTGCCCCAGCCCCCAGCCCAGCCCCGCCGCGCCAGCGCCCCACGGCCATTCGGATAGCAATAACCAGATTAGCCAGGAACACAGGCGTCCTTCGCTGGGTTCAAAAAAAAAAAAAAAAAAAAAAAAAATAGCACGGCACACACCGCACGGGTTGTGCTCTGCTTCGGGCGACACTCGAGAGTTTTGCTCCACACGCGCCCAGGGGAATAAAGCATTTGAGCAAAACTCCCGTTTTCTTGTTTCCATCGTTCTCCTACTGCATTTCAGCTTTACCTTAATGCTTTGTTGACCGAAACCGCGAGCTAGAGCAAACTGCGCGCACGCGCCAGTTTCGTATAGGGCTTGCGCACCGGCGACACAGCGTTGGTTTACCTCTCGCTTGATTTTACCTGATACTTTACGGAGCGAGGCGTGCCTGCTGGAAATATGCGATTGCTGTTTGAGTGTAACTGAATTCGCGCTGCACATTACTCTCAATGTAAAAGGACTGTTTTTTTCTTCCTTAAAAAAAAGAGGGTTGGGAAGAGGGGGGGGGGTCGATCAAAATATTTGGACCGTCATGTGACTGTTATGCTGCACCCCTAAAAACTCGACAAATTGTGTAGAAACAATAAAATCGGATGACGCAATGTATAGATATCTGTCATTACTGGAATACAACGCCCCCCGCACTGTGAAAATTTTCCTCTTGCAAATTTACAACATTCCTTTGGTATTTTACGATTTACAAAAACATGTGAAATATTTACGACAACCCAACCCATCCTTGATCGTTATAGAATTTAAATTCGATACAATGAATTTCCAGTGATTTCACAATTCCAAATTACAATTTTACAGTACATAACGTCTGTGATCCTTACTATGGTCTGTTCTCATACAGTACGTCTACTAGCGATATGGCGGTCCGTCGTTTCAGCGCCGTCAAACGATGGCCATAGACAAGCAGCAGGCGTCGCGTTCTCGCGAGTTTCCATAGTTTCTCCCCCTATACC